TCGTTCAATAACTCAAGCAACATGTCAACAGACTTGTCTGTCCACTGATTAAGCACTTTCAAATGTAGAAGTCGAACAATGAATGACAAAGATGTGAACTTCTGACAACCCGGATACAATTCACTTTGTGCATCTTGAAGAAGTTTGAAATACTTTGCAGTCTCTGCATTTGGACCGAGTTGGGGTTCAAATGCATGGGGATCAGGCCCCTATGGTTCATTACCCTCAACACTTGTACCGGCATGTGGATTTCCCATAGCCCCTTGTATCATTCCAATCATATCATCCCCAATGTCTGAATTAGCTAATGTTTCATTCTCTCGATTACCATGCAGAGATACGTAAGATTCCCCATGATTAATCCAATGTTTGTATTTTTTAAAAAAATCATTCAAAATCAGATGCTCCCGTACACCCTCTCGTACAAAATAGTATCGATTCTCACACTTCCTACACGGACAACTGATCATCGAACCTTCAACCGTATTGGTGTAGGCAAACACAAGGAATTCATCAATCCCATTAATGTATTCGCTCGACATCCTATTTGGCAAATCAATGCAACTCTTATCCATCATCTGTACACATAAATAAAAAGAGACCATAATAGCCATAACTAGCTAGTGTCTTTTTATGTAAAATTGGGTATGTATTATTGTATAAATACAAATATCAAGTCAACTTCCCCCATGTGGGGATACAATCAAACAAGGGTATCACAAATTTTTCTCACATATTTTAATCTTATATGAATAGTTTTCTTAGCTTAATCTATCAAATTAAGAATCATTTTAGATGTTAAACTTCCACCCATCTTCCCTTTAGAAATATTAAAATGAAATGTGAGCTTGCTTGGAAAATTTTAATTTGGCTAAAGAGTTAATTAAAGTCAACGTATTAGTTTATGTTCTTCATTCACCTGTATTCAAAGATCTTGGACAAATTGTATTAGTTCATCTGATATTAGAGAAAACTTTCTTAGTAATAATAGGCTCACCACATTTTGTATATTTCAGGGAAGGAGCTGGTGATTGCCGTTCAAGTGTAGCTGTTATGTTGGAGCTTGCTCGAGGAATTTCTCAATCGGCTCATGGATTTAAGAATTCCGTCATATTTTATTTAATACTGGTGAAGAGAAAGGCTTAAATGGTGCTCATAGCTTTATAACTCAGGTTTGGGCCATTTAAGGTGCATCTAATTATTCTTAGTTTGATTTGTTTATTAATTTCCTTTTCTATTTTTTATCCTCAATCTTTTAAGCCTTTAAATATTTTTTAATGAGTTTTTAATATTCCTAGATCTCAACATGTTTAATTATTTAATTATTGAGAATTTGTTTATATTCTTAGTTTTTGCTTCCAAATATTTTGATAGTATCCATGTAGTATTTATCTACTGTTTGGTTAATAGGTCAATTATTGGCCTTAGAAGCATAGAAATGCAGCAATTTTGAAAAGCTATTGACATGGCAGTGCATGAAAGATAAAGGCAGGAGTGGTAGTCGTTCAATCACTTGGTAGCAAAATTGGTAATTAACATTGATTGAACCTCGACCTCAAAATTGCACCCATATTTATCTGTCGATGGCTCTTATGGAACTATATTTTGTCATTTCAATGCTATAGTTGTCATGTTTACCTATAGTTCTTATCAGTGCACAATTAGTATATTTTCTTGAACTATTAAATGCAGTTTCACTTATTTGTATAATTTATCCCAGGTGCAAAAACATTAATCAACCTCATAACTTGTATTGTGTTTGGTCTCTCACTCGCTGCTGTATTATCTGGTTTCGTTCCACCAGAGAGAGAGAGAGAGAGAGAGCCGTTGTCGAATATACATTCATCTATATATATATACAGAGAGAGAGAGAGAGAGAGAGAGAGAGAGAGAGCATACGCAGAGAGAGCCGTTGTCGTCGCCGGACCAACCAAAGCCGTTGTCGTCGCCGCCGCACCGCCGCACCGCCGCACCACCGCTACAGAGAGCCGTTCGCCTTCGTAGCTCGTTTGAGGAATTTGGGGGGGAAAAAATGTTTCGAAGATTTAGGGATTTGGCTGAAATCATCGAGCGGCAAGATGAAAGGGAAAGGCGGGGGTAATTATTTTTTTTTTTACTTTTTGCGACGATTCGTTTTACACCGTCGCCGATGGTTACTAATTACATCATAAAACGGCGCCGTTTTAATAAGCCCCTTTTTGCGACGGAAGTTTGCCGTCGCAAATGGCCACTGTTTGAGACAGCAAACATATGCCGTCTCAAAACTAATATTTTTTGCGACGGTAAAAAATGCCGTCGCTAATAATTCGGCATTTACTAACTATCCACGTGGTTTTATTACCGACGGGACAAACGCCGTCGCTAACGCCTTTATTTGCGACGGTATAAGTTGTCGTCGCAAAAAACCATTTTTTGCGACGGGAGGCGCGCCGTCGCTATTGCTTCCGTGTTATTTGACCCCTTTTCTTGTAGTGTTGCCAGTTCTTATTTCTTGTCTATAGTTTATTGTTTGGTTTTGCCATATTTTTAAATTTAAAAAAGTCATGAAACAAGATATCAAACATCACACAATCACCTAATTTTTTTGAATTAGTTTGGTGATGTGGTTCTACTTTCTACTTTTATCTTCTTTAGTCTGGTATTAAGTAGTTGGCGTTTGCTACCTATCTTTTTGTATGTTGTATTATCCATGCAAACTACACTAATCTTTTTGAATGAATGAAGTTCCTTCTTTATACCAAAAATAAACAATGAATTTGTGGTAAAGTTGATTAATAAATAACACAAAGATGAGGTAAACATTTTTCTTTATTGTATTTTTCTTTCAAATTTATTTATTCTCCCTATATTTTACAACACAAAATATTCTTTAATTGATAACAATTCAAAACGAAAGTGTGATAGGATTTAAATGGTTTCATTCGGACGAGTTAAGAGAATTAATTATCAAATCCTTCTATTTTGTTGTTTGAATAATCAAAACTCATCATGTGTGACCGTTTAATTTTTGTTAATTTTCAATTTAGAATAAAAATTATGGAATAATGCATCAAGAATAAATTGTTTAAAAAACAGAGTGCTACTCTGTAATACTTTATTCCTTAACTTTTAGGGCAAATTACATATACCCCTCGAGATTTAGTAAAATTACAGATGTCCCTTGAAGTTTGAGAAATTACAGATACTCCCCTGAAGGTACTATTTGCATAATAAATTAGGATGCAAATTGTTATGAAAATAAAAACCTCATAGGACAATTTGTTATGAAAATATAAACTTCAGGGAGGTATCTGTAATTTCTAAAACTTTAAGGAAATATCTGTAATTTAGTTAAATCTCGAGAGAAGTATATGTAATTTGCACTAACTTTTATTATCAAACTCGTACCATCAATTGTTTATTTATAATGCTCGGAAATTAAAATCTAAAAAATATTTAAATATGATATTTACAACCTAAGCACATATAATCTCTTCAAAACTATGTTCTAAACTTCCAAATGGTCAAGACCACGTATGAACTATGATATATATGAACAGCCAAATCTTTGTGTGTATGAGTAGTACTAGAGCCGCAAATGAACTGAACTCTTCATAAACAAGCTCGGCTCTACTCATTAAGGGCTCAGTTCAACTCAGCTCGTTTAATAAACGAGTCGAGTTCGAACTCGCATAAACTCGGCTCGTCAAGTTTGACTTGTTTATCTTTATTTAAATTATATAATAAATATATTATTTATATATTAAATAATATAAATAATATTAAAAAAATTATCGAGCAGAGTCGAACTTGAGTTTCATTAATATTAACGAGCCGAGCCGAGCTCGAGCTTAGTTCCTTATCGAGCCAAGCCCGAGCTCGATAAATAAGCTTGATAAGTAAATGAACCGAGCTCGACCTCAACAAAATTCGGCTCTACTTCGTTCGTTTGCAACCCTAGGTAGTACATGCATACCGGTTTGAAAATTAACTATTTAAATCAATTTATATATATATTTTTTTGTTGCAACTATGTTGACACATAAAATTTCCATTATAGAAAGATTCATGTAGTCGATCTTATTTGATGGGACGTAAGGCTTGATTTGATTTGGTTTGGTTTGATTAAATTCCCAAACAGCCCTGTAAATCAATAAATAATATATCTTTTTTCACCAATGTGTACCATACATACCACTTCTCTTTTCTTCACTACTCTATTCATTTCAGTCCTCTCCGCCTCTACGCTTTGGCTAAGCTCCTAAAACCTCTCATGGCAGAGACTAATCTCTTCAAATCCCAATTTAGTATTTCTTAAATGTTTTGTCAATTTGTATTGTTTTCTGATCTGGGTCTTCTTTAGTTCATGCTCAGATCATAGCTTTTTTAACTACTTTTACAGTCTTTTGCTTTTCTGCTTCCATTACAGTTGAAGCTAAACATATCTGATTTATGGGTTTCTTTTAGTTTCTTGATTGGTAGAATCGGATTTCTTGAAATGGGCTTTGTCTTGGAGATGCAAACCGCGGCCGTTTCATATGAGGTCTGTTTCATTTCTCATCTCTCTCTCTCTCTCTCTCTCTCTCTCTCTCTCTATAAAGCATTAGATACAGAGCTATATACAATATGTTGTATTGGTTTTCTAGAAAAATTTCTTATCTTTATAGGTTGTTTGTTTGTTCAGTTCTCAAATCCATTTATTGATTTGGGATTTGGGTTTTCCTTAGTGAGTGTTAGAAGTAAAGTAAGCATCGAGTTCTGTACTTTTCCTTTTTGTTGTTGATAGATGGATTTGATTTTCTAACAAGGGTTTGAACCTCTTCTTTGTTTTGGTGTTTGGATGACACTAATGTTGTTTGTAAAAGGGATGACTTTGAGTTCTTCTTCTTCTTTTCCCCCTTAATGCTCTTTTTGCCATGAATATTTTCTTCTCCTGCTAATTGGTTGCACAGATTTATATTGATTTATGATTTATTTAGGTTGTTCATCTCATACAAAAGCTTCCAGTTTCAAATTGTTACAGGAGTTTTCCTATGGATTATACTATTTGCACTCAGTAGGATGTTAGCGGATCAGTAGGTTAGGTTAGAACAGCTGGGCAATCAACGCTTCTCCATAAACCTCCCTCCAAAAACCTAGAGTGCTATGCTCAAGTTTTTCTATGGATTAGACTAAGACAATGGATTTGTATGTTTGTGCTGAAACCAAGTTTTTGTTTTGTTCGTATTCGTTTTCTCTTTTGTTGAGTTTTAGAATACTGTTAAGTGTTCACTCTTTAAAGCTGGTGCCTTTAGGTTATGTTTGTTGTCCCATCTAAAAATCTCTTTTCCCTTTCCTTGGCTTTATTTTTATGTTTTTGTCCTTTTGGTTGTGAAAAAATGGTGCATGTGTTTCTGTTTCTTTGTGGTAATTTCAGTTGATTTGTTGTTTTTGGAGTTCATGGAGTCATTATGATTTTCTTGGCCTTTGATTCCATGTATTTGTTCTTGCAGATATCTTTCTCTGTTGTTTGAAATTTATTTAACAAGGTATTCAAGTTATGGGTAGAGGTAGAGGAAAAGGGAAGAAGCAAACCACTATTGCTGCTCGTGATGAGGCTGGCAGTGGTGAGGAAGAGAAGATTCCGCCATATAGGAGAAGAGGAAGGCCACAAAAACCACTGAAGGATGAAATTGAGGAAGAAGCCGAGAACATAGAAGAAGAAGAAGAAGATGAAGGTGAGAATACAAAAAGCTCTATTTCTAACAAAGATGTGAAACATGAAGCTGCTGCAGAGAACGGGAAGAAGAGGAAGAGGAAGAAAGCTTCACAGGTTAAGGAAAATCCAGATTCGGTCATAGAGGAAAATGGAGTGGGAACAAAAACTAGCATCGATGAGTCAGTCAAGTCTGTTGGGTTCAGACAAAACGGGAGCAGGCGAAAAAACAAGCCTCGGCGAGCTGCCGAAGTTGGTGTGGAGTGCAAATGAGGTTGCTGTCAGCATTGCAATGGGTTTCTACCTTCTTTTTCCGTCAGATAAATGAGTAATTTCAGAGCAAGCTTTTGTTGGTTCATATATGTTTAATTATATCTCTTTTTTATTTATTTTTTTTAAGTAATCTCCAATTTCCATTTTCTTGCTAGTGGGTGATCTTAAAAGTAGATTATGCCTCTACAATCGCCCATGTAGCTACCAACATTTGATATCTTAGCTAATTTCTTTTGTTATGCATTTATTATCAGTAATCAGAAACTTCTTCTCCCGGACTAGAAAAAATTGTTTCATCTATTGCAATCATGTGAATCAGCTCTCCCCTTTAACTTTGAACCTGTTTTCTTGTTGCTTCCCTTGGAAAGTTCTTTGTTCTTCGAGAGACGCATATGATGGAAGCTGCCTGATAACAAAAAGCCGGGGCAGCATTTTTGTTTCCAACACCAAATGGTGAGGTAATGCCCTAGTAGTGAACAGATACATTTTCAATCTTGGATGGCCTATTAACAACTCCTAAATGCTCTAATACCTTTAACAGATTATTTCAGTTAAGTTATGAAAACAGCACATTCTTTTGTACCATCTACTTTTACGTGGTCTATTTAATGTCTCCATTAGTTTCTTAGCCTGTTAGAATGATGATGGAAGTTGACTCTATGATGTTATGATGCCATGCATCTTTACATTAGAGGTAAAACTGAAGCTGCATATTTTAGGTAGATTTGATGGTTGATGCAACCATGTCTGTTCTACTTGATCATGCTTGTTTTAGAAGTCCTTAAAAGTGTTCTTGTCTTTTTGTTTACTTGTTTTCAAATGCCGATGTAATTATGGTAAATGTACTGAAGTGAACTGCCAACTTTGGCCGTTAAGTTTCTACTAAGCTTAGGCTATATTTGGTCAACTGATATCATTACTAGAACATTCTAATCAATTTTGGGTTTGAAATAACTAGTTTGGTTTATCAAACGAGAATGGTTATATGTTAATCACTTGAATAAAGGGTTTCTAGGAGTTACAAAATTTGAAATTCAGAAGAAGCTTATTTGGTGCATCTATCTGCCTTATTTGGTAATCTTTGTTTATCTATTAGCCAAACATGATTCATTTGACCAAATTATTTGGTTTACAACCAATTATGTAACAATCAGATTGGGCTTGAATATAATTAGTCTAAATCAATAATAACCTTAATGTAATTGATAAAATTGGGGAGTTCAACTTGGCTCAGTCCAGAGTGACTTTTGATTGGACTATCCTGATTTGGTCACTTTGGGTTGGATCTATTTGTTTCTTGGGTTGATTAACTTGGTTAGGCCTATAAGGGTTTAGATTGGTTAGGTTCTTAGAGCTATCTAGACTATCAGTTCAGTTTAGGTTTTATGGACCAACCAAATTCACACTTCACATATAATGCATGTATTGGTCAAGAAGACACTTGTTTATTGAATATCATATTGTGAGCCATTTTGTATGACTTTTGATGAATCAGTTGAGAATGATACATGAGCCAGTGCAGGTTGTACCCCGAGAGATGCTCAAATGTTGGTAGTGTTTAGTATGGTGGAAAAGCAACAAATTATTGGGCCTCAGGAATGGGTGAAGGTTTTCTCTACGACATGGTCCTTGGCATCTCTCATTTGGAGGAGACATTTAAAAGACAAGGTCAAAGGTGCTTCCGCCCCATCATTCTCATTGAAAATGTTATCAAAGAGATGATTCCTTTTTCTTTTCTTTTTCTTTTACACTAAAACTTTAGTCGGTTATCAAAGAGACTGCCCTTTAAGAACTTTAGTTGATTATTTTGAAGCATGTAGTTAAGAAGGGCAAGAAGTTGCAAAAGCCATTGCTAATTATGGCTTCCGGGATGAGCAAGTGGTCTCAGGGGAACTTTTGGCATATGATAGTTCTGGTTGTGTTAGTAAGGTTATTATTGACACGAGGATCACCCAGTGCTGCCTGTCTTAGATTATCGTTTTGTTATATGCTTTTTAGTAAAATTTTCGTTGCCATACAAAAGAAATTAAGGAGAGAGAATCTTATAATAGAAAATTCTGACTTGCGAATTCAAATCATAATCTGAAATGCTACTTTCTTGATGACAATTTTGATTGATGAAACTCAAGAGGGAGTAAAATGCTAAAAAAGTTGTGGAGGATGCTTGAAAATTTAGGGGCTTCACTACAAACCAAAGTAGTAAACTTGGCACAAGCACACAAACATAACTGTATTGTATGAGCTATTTTCTTTTTAATCCCAAGCAGCAGGAAAAGAAGAAAACTGTAATAATACCAAGTAGAAATAACAGTATGGCAAAGATTGATGTGCAATAAATAAGATAGTCGGATAGAGAAGTACTTGAGGAGTTTTATGTGGTCCTCATATATAATATTAAAGCCAGTGTAATAATAGCAAGTAGAAATAATGCAATGGCAAAGATTCTGGTCAAAGAAAAAGGATGGCCAGGTGGAGAAGTACTCGTGGAGTTTTATGTGTTACCAATAAAATTGAGAGGGAAATTTGTTTAAATGATTAAATCTATTTGCTTTTTGGTGCTAAGTTGCGGGATAAAGATCAGCACCAGAGATTGTCATGGCTATTGGAAGGTTAGAGTACAAAAAGGCCGCCTCATGAAAACTTAAGGATTGCATCAATAATGGCAAGTCAAGGGGAACTTTAGTAAATATTGTTTTTCACGTCCATTGTACCTCTCTGGCTACTTGAAGACCCTAGGAGAACAAACAAATTTGAAAATATGAAAAATGAACTGGAGAAGGGTTTTCTTGAGATGAATTGTTGAACATGAAAGACCAGTTCAGATAACTTAATATTGAAATACCAGTTTGGATAGCTTTCTGAAATATATGGCAAGTGGCCACCTAAAATGATTTATATGCAAGTGACCTTTAACTACTACCATCTAATAACCTAAAACTGTTGTTTGGGCAGATCAATTACATCTTTTCGTATAGGACCTGAGTAACTGAAGTTTCTTAAACTAAGAAGTTGTCTGCCTTGTATCTTATACGGAAGGAGGAGAAGGTATGAGACAACATGTTATTTGGAATTTTTGCCATTGAATTATTTTCCTTTTTCTTCTGTGATGATCTTGTTAACTTGCTTCCCACATTGTTCTTAATATCTAGCAGTGTTAGAACATTAAAATCTTAATTATGCTTATGTAAGGGTACGGCTGTGCAGCTGTTTTCATTTCTATTGTTTTTATTTACGTTGTTTTTGGAAGAAAAAAAGGGAGGGGAAGGGGTGAACATTCATTTGAGAGTTACATATTTGGCTGCTATGTTTCCTTATAGTGACTGAGGTGTGTTATGCATGAAGCTGGCATCCATCTTCAATGGGGAAATGTTGTTTATTTTTTTTAAATGAGAATTGCTAAAGGCTTGATGTCAAATTATGTCAGCTTCAAAACTGTACCGTAAGCAAAGAAAATTTTCTATCTACTTCATAGTTAAACTCCTTCAATCTTAGGCGACTTTATTGCTTTTCCCACGGTACTGTTGTGGCCCTTTGGTGCCTGCTGATCAAAGAGGTAAGACCATAATTATTTTTGCAAGTGGAGATTTGTTAGCTGTGGACTGCATAAAGTGATTCAAGGTAGGTGCAAAAATGGGATTCTTAGCATTAGATTTGCAAGTGAAGAGTGAAAATACTGCTAAGCGGTGCCACTAGAAGCTGATATTATTTGAAATTAAGCCTTCTGAGAGTTTCATAGTTGGAAACTGTACTTACATTACTGTTATGTGATCTCCGTGCTTCATGTTAAAAGCCATGCTGCTGCCGTTGCTACTGCTACTATGTAATCTTTGTGCTTCACGGGTTTCAATCCTTTTCGTTCTGTTCATGGCATCTCTTTTATTTATTTATTTCTTTTTTCTTTTTTCTTTTTTCTTTTTTACATATATGTACTATGTAGCATGTTACAAATATGTAGTGTACATGTGCTGAAGAGTTGACTAATTCGTGTAGTTCTTATAGTGCCAGTTTTTCATGCATATAAATGTTTCTCTTCCGAATTCTCTGAGACGCTGAGATTTTGAAAACTTTCATATACTTGCATTCCATACCATATCTTCAGGATTTGTGTGTGAGAATTGTAGTCCTGGAAAACAAGTGTAATCAATGTTGTTAATTCAGAGTTTCATGATAACATCGTATCTCTCATATGAATGAATGAATAAAAACAGTATTTTCTCTCATTTTTGTATGCTTGATATCGTGTGAGAGAGATCAGATCTCTCTCTACGCACAGGCTAACAAGAGGATTAGAATTCACCATTTTTCATGCATGATTTTTGCTTGTGATCAACCTCTAATGAGGTTGTCGTATTAAATTTGTTTGTAAGTATAGCTCTCCTCAACTAAGCTTAATTTTTTTTGCTTCAAATTGACATAATGGTTTAGATGCATTAATTTCATTTAGGGAGAATTACATGCTGGTAAGAGTTGATGAAAAAATTTATCAACACATGGAGGGCTCACATCCTTTCATTTGCACCCCACCATAAATACTTGCACCTCTCAATAAACACTTGCACCTCTCATGTGTTTGTAATTTTTCCTAACTTCCACCTGCACGTAGTTTTCCCTTTCATTTATGCATCTTATTGGTGTCCTGAGTAAATTGTCTTTCAACATGTATATTCATTCAATTTTGAGTCATTGTCTCTTCACCCATCAATTTATTTTACAGCATATGGTCCCTCTCTAAATAAATGGGATGGTCTATATGTGCTATAATCTGTGATGTATGCACACTCTTGGTTTTGTCATGCTACATGTATCTTTGAAACTAGGGTTCAGTTCTACTCCTAATCTGTTAACTGATAAAGCTTGAATCCAAAAAAGTTATTCAAAAATGAATTGTGTGGTACAGATTTAAATCAAGTAGGAGATTTTGGTTCATACACTTAAATTTTAGCCTCTTCTTTTTCTTTTCTTTTTTTTTTCTTTGTGGGTTAGGTAAGAAGCAAAATACTAATTTAAAGAGGTTCACTCCCTAGTTTATGTGAATCAAATTTAATCAAGAGGACTAGAACATGTCAATTTGAAACAAAAACTTGTTGCATTTCTTTGAATAGTAGGAATGAACACACGCAATGAAAATTTCATTTCAAATCTCTTTTAATTCTATAATTTGAGTGCATTCAAGACATAGAATTTGATTTTCCAGGGAAAATATTATTACCAGTTACCACATACTTTTGTTAGATATGAACAGAAATATTTTTAAAAAATTATCCACTTTTCATGTAAAACAATAATAATAATAAAAAAATATTCCATGTCCACATCACAAACAAATCTGAGTTATCCAT